CACAATGTCCCAGCACAGCAGCTGCAGCACTCACCTTGGGCGCCGGCTTGTACGCCTTCAGCTCACGCAGGTAAGCCTCCTGGACGAAGTCTATTCGCAAGAGACAAGGAGGCAGATGTCAGCAAGGGAGAAGGGCGCTGCAACTCCAGATGCCCGGTCCTTGCTCTACGCGCGCCGCGACAGGCACTCGCTGCACAGAGCAGGACTTGAACAGAACAAGGGTAGAGAGCGAAGCACGCACCCTTGCGCGCCACTGCAGCGGCAGAGAAAGCGCGCGCCGGCGCAGCAGCCGGGGCGGCCTGTGAGCAGGGGATGCAAAAAGGCCGAGCGTCAGTCGCAGGCGCCGAGACAGCGCAGCCACACGGCGTGGCGCTGCGCCAAGCGAAGAAAGGAGGCGGAAAAGCAACACGCACGAGACGCAGCGAGCGTGAGACGAGAGCGAGCATGATCGGAGAGGCAAGAGGTGGAAGGGGGGGGTGGATGAGGGGAAGAAGCTGGCCACGCGCTGCCAAGGCCCAGCAGGCAGCGGCGCCACGCCGCGCGAAGCTCGAGCGCCGCACGCCGCCGCCGCGCCGCGCGCGCCGCTGCCAGCGATGGTCCGGCCAGCGCCGGCGCGGCGTGCGTCACGTGCGCGTCGAGGCCGCACCGAGAGCGAGGCGCGCATCGCACTTGTGCGCGCCTCTGAGCGCACGCTTGCGAGGCTCTCAAGACAGCATCGAGGTGGACGCAAGATGCGCTGAGACGCAGATGGATGTGAAGAGAGGAGCCGTGCTTGCTGCTCTGCCTTGCGAAGCAGGAGCAAGTGGCCCGAGGGGCAAGTCGATGCCGCAGATGGCACGCCCTCGCGCGCGCGTCTGGCGGCCGTCGTGGCGCGCCAGCTGCTCGCGCCCGGCCCTCCCATCGTCAGCAGCCCTGTCCTGCGCCTGGCGTCGCGGCTCCCTGCAGACCAAGCACGACTATGCTGCTGCCGCTTGAGCGCGCGAGAACGAAGAGTTCGGCCAGGCGAGCACAGCAGGCAAGGGCGACGACGATCGCCGCGCTCGCTGCGTCTCTTGTCCGCGCCGCCCGCTCCACCGCTGCGCCCGCTGAGGCGCTGCCGGCGGCACACGGCTACCGTGCCGCGCGCGCGCGCGCGCGCCGCGGGCGCCGGCGCAGCGATGCGCGAGATCTCGCAGCCGGCGCGCGCAGTCAGTCACGCGCCGCATCGAGCCGCGTGCCGTGCCGGCAGGGCTCAGCGGCGCCTCGCTGCCCTCCACAGCCCCTCGTCCTCGAGTCAGCCAGCGTGCAGCGAGCGCATCGTCGAATCCTCAGCACCAGCAGCAGCACACCGCAGCGAGCGCCTCGCTTGCTTCTTGATTGCACGCCCTCAACTCCGCACCTCCTTCCTTGCTACCTCGCTCCCCCCCTCCTCCACCTCGTCGCACTCCTCTCGCCTCTCCCGGCCGCACGCTCGTGCGCAGTCCCAGGCGCAGCCTCAGCGCCGCCGCCTCCGCCGCCGCCGCCGGCCACCTCGCACGCACCTCGCACGCAAGCAGCAGCAGCGCATGGGTCAATCCTCCACGCGTCCCCTCGACTCTCCGCCCGGCCTCGGCGCGGGCGGAGGCGAAGGCTCGGAGCAGCGCGAGCAGCGCGAGCAGCGGCGCAGCGGCGGCGGCAGTGGCTTCCACAACCTGCATCTCTCCCTCGGCGGCGGCGGCGGCGGCGGCAGCAGTCGGGATGGCGCCTCCAGCGCCGGCCCTTCTTCTTCGTCGCCAGCTCGGCCAGTCTCGCCTTCCCTCTCCACCGTGCCCGCGGCCGACTTCGCCCTCGGCCACCTGCCGCCTTCGCTCGCGCAGCCCACTCTGCCTGCCCCGTCCGCATCCGACGCCGAGACGATCGAGGGCCACGTGGTGCCGCAAGGCGTCTACCCCGAAGCTCCGCACGACTATCACCGTCTCGTCGTGCGCGCCCAGATCCTCAAGAAGCGCCTGGCGCCGTTCTACAAGCCGCTGCCGGGCACCGAGGAGCCCGAGGGAAGCGAGGAATGTCCCATTTGCTTTCTGGTGCGTCGGGCCTCTTCTCCTTGCTTGCTCCTGCTGGGCCCTCGCCTTTTCCGTCTCGGCGGCCGCGCGGGGCAAGCCAGCACGCAGCCAGATCCTTGCGCCTTGCATGCGCTGGCCCGCCGCCGAGGCTGACGCAAGCCCACTGCCCCCAGACATACCCGGCGCGCATCAACCGCACGCGCTGCTGCATTCAGCCCATGTGCAGCGAATGTTTTGTGCAGATCAAGCGCCTCGATCCCTCGCACACCAACCCGCCCTCCTCGGAGCCGGCGGCGTGTCCGTACTGCATGACGCCGCCATTTGGCGTGCGCTACACGCAGGGACATGGCAAGGAGGAGGAGACGAGCGCCAGAGAGGCAAAGGACATTGCGGAAAAGGCAGCGGCGGGCAGAAAGGTCGAGGTGGAGGAGGGCAAGACGGAGGAGGATGTCGTCTGGATCGGTGAGTGTCTTTGTGTGCCTCGTAGTCTCGTCTCGCAGGCGAGAAGCGTAAGGGGCTTCATCGAGAGGTGGCTGGTAGCAGAAGAAGGGCATGAGGTCGCGTCACTCTCTGGACGGATGCGCTCGCCTCGTTGGCGGAGACGGGCGCCTCCTCCACAGGTCACACGGTTGGCAGACCGCGAGCCAGCAGCACGACGCAGGTGTGATGCTCATTAGCGCATGCTGCCTGTGGACGCTGTTTGTGCTGTACTCGTGGCGGCAGCGCTCTGCAGAGACTGGCAACGCTGTGCTGCCACCCCTGATGGCCAAGGTCCCACCGAGGCTGCGCTGCCTTCGCTCTTGCTTGCACAGTGTTCCATCGGCTGCCTTGCCTCTTGCCCCCATTCATTGACGCGCTTTCTCTCTCTCTCTCACTGCAAGACGACATTCGTCCAGACTGGGAGGCGAAGCTCGCCTCGGCGCTCGCCACGCTCGCCCGGCGCGCCAACCGACGCATCATCATGCGTCAAGTCGGCGAGCGTCTGATTCCCATCGGCGTCAGCTCTTCGCGCGTCGGCGCGGATCTGCCACAGGGCGAGGGAGCGGGCGGAGCCATTATCCTGCGCGAGGGAGAGCGGTGGGGAAGAGAGGAGGCTGCGGGCGCAACGAGCTCGAGCTCGAGAAGGAGGCGATTGCAGGCTGCACTGTTGGGCGATGGACCGGACATGGAGGAGGTGAGTGAGGTTCTCCCCGACGCATGGAACCGATGGGCAAAGCAGCGCATGTGTCGTGCAACGAGACTCATCCTGCCCTTCTTCGCACGCGCAGATCATGATGATGGAAGCCATGCGCCTCTCCTTGCTAGAGCACGAAGAGCAACAACGTCGTCAAGCTGCCGCATCCAAGGCCGCTGCTGCTGCCGCCGCCGCCTCCTCCTCCTCCTCCTCCTCCTCTTCTGCACAATCTGCCGCGGCGGCTTCTCCCTCGAGCCACAGCGCTGCGACTGCGGCCGTGCCAAGTTCTCCAGCACAGCAGCGCTCCTCGCGCACGCCAGCCTCGCCGACGACGCCTCAGCCTCCAGCAAGCACTCGGTCTTCTTCCCATCTCACTGCATCCTCTTCCGCGCGCGCGGACGTGGCAAGCAGTAGCTCTGCCTCGCCTTCTGAGCCCGCGCAGCTGCAGCCGCAGCCTGCGCAGGCGCAGCCGCAGCCCCTCGATGCACGTCAACTGGGTCTCTCCGACGCCACGCTCGCCGAGCTGGCGGAGCTCGTAGAGGGCGTGCCCATTGCGCTCGGCGGCTCCGCCGTGCCTAGCCAGCCCACTCGTGCCGCCTTTGCCGATGGCACGACGCGCAACCAGGCGCCTCTCCCGACGACGCAGACGCCGAGGAGCGGCATGGCGAGTGCGCCGCCGCAAAGCGCACCCGCCTCGCCCAGTCGCGTGGGGACGAACCCGAACAACCCGTTCCGACGCCTTGCGAGTCCGCCGGGATCGCCGGCGCCGGGACAGAGTCCGTTGCGCTGAGTGTGTGCGGTCTAAGGGGAAGGGAGTGGCGGGGGCTGCAAAGAGAAGGGGGGGCTATGCGGAGCTTGCTATGAGCTCTCCGGCGACATGCCTCGGCCCCTCACACTCCGTCCACACACTTGTCCCCGTGCATGCCTCTTTCTCTCTTTACGTCTGTGCACGCGCGCTGCAGACGACGTGCGCATCCCCACTGTCCCCCTCTACTAGTCGCGCCCTCCTTGCGCAGTCACACACTCTCTCTCGCTTGACCTCGCGTGTTGGCTGTGCGATGTTGCGCGAGGCGCCCTCCGCATGAAGCTGCACCAGCGGAGAGGGTTAACAGTGGCAAGGTTGTCTCACGATGCTTGATGCTCGGTGCAAGCAGCGTGAAGCCTCACGGGGGAGCGCAGCCGCGCGCTCGGTCACCGCGCCGCGCTGGTTCCCACGCGCCGAAGTTGGGGCGCGGGCGCAGCTTCAGAGGTGCAGGCGCAGCGCCCAAGACAGAAGTTCGGCGCCGGACCGGTGGCCGCCGCACGCCGTGCCTGGGCCACTCATCAGGCTCATCGCCCTGCCCTGCCCTGGCGCTGCACTCCTTCCCTACCACCACCACCATCTTGCACTTTCGGCAGCCATGTCGCTCCTGCGCTCCTCGCTGCTCCCTCTCTCGCGCGCCGCCAGCAGCGCCGCGTGCGCCCGTGCGCGTGCGCTGAGCACGAGCGCCGTGCGCGCACGCATCACGCCCCTCGTCATGCCAGCCATGAGTCCCACCATGACCGAGGGCGGCATTGCGCGCTGGGCACTCGGGCCCGGCGATGCATTCAGTGCCGGCGATGTCATCCTGGAGATTGTGAGTTTTGCAGGAGATAGGGGAGGGGGGGGGCAAGCGTGCATGGCGCACAACTGCGCTGCGATGCCGAAAAGGCACTGCAGAAAGGCGCGCACGTCGCTGCCACACGCTGCTCCTCAGGCAACTCGCACGTAGGGCAGAGGAGGCACGCAGCAGCTCGGACTCTCTTGCCCCCCCCCCCCCCTCTGCGGCTGCATGTGCTCGCTTGGTGTTGCAGCCGACGTGCGGCGCTGCTTCGTGCCTGCCGTGCCTCACGCATCGAAAGCGTGGGCGTGCCCTCCGGCTGGTCCAAGTGCCTGCGTCGCAGAGCTCTGCTCCCTTGCTGCCAACTGCCTCAACCTGTGTCAGTCCCTGCCACAGTGACTGACTCGCCTTGCCTTCCTCTTCTTCATGTGGCTTGCAGGAGACGGACAAAGCCACGATGGACGTCGAGGCTCCCGACGACGGAGTGTTTGGCCAGGTCGTCGTCGAGGCCGGCGCCAAGAATGTCCAGGTCGGCGACGTCATTGCCATGCTTGCCGAGGAGGGCGATGATCTCAGCAACATCCAAGTGCCCAGTGGCGAGGCCACGGAGAGCAAGAAGGAGGAGGCGAAGCAAGAGAGCAGCAGCAGCAGCAGCAGCAGCAGTAGCAGCAGCAGCAGCAGCAGCAGCAGCAGCAGCAGCAAGCCAGAGGCGCCTGTGGCGCAGGAGAAGCCTCGTGCCCAAGCATCGGCCGGCAATGCCTCTGGCTCTGCCGTCGCCTCTCCTTCCTCGGCCTCCTCGACGTCGCCTCCTTCCTCGGACAACCACAGACGCATCTTCCCGAGCGTGGCGCGTCTGCTTGCCGAGTCGGGCGTCAAGGGCTCAGAGGTGAAGGGCACGGGAGTGAGGGGCATGCTGACCAAGGGCGATGTCTTGGCGCATCTGGGAAAGGCAAAGAGTCCGACGGGAACGTTCAAGGAGGCACATGGAGGCGTGGCGGCGCTCGGTGGTGCGCCCGTCGGCGGAGCAAAGGTGAGTTCTCCTGCCTCCACGGCAAGTTCGCGAGCTGCGAGCGAGGGGAAGAAAAAGGGGCAGGAGCTGACTCTGATCCTCTTTCTCTCTCCCTCTCCTTCAGAAGCCGACTGAGTCTGGCTCTGCGTCTCCCTCAAAGTCCTCCTCCTCCTCCTCGTCCAGCGCTCCTCTCTCTCCCTCCGAGCTGCGCGCTCTCATTCTCGGCGGCCTCTCCTCTTCTTCCTCGTCGTCGCGCGCCGCGGCCCTCTCCGCCACGCCCGCCTCGAAAGGCACGCTGGGAGGCGTGCTGGACGATCTGCTCTCCGACTACGCGTTCACGCCGCAACAGGCGCCGGCGAGCAAGAGACGCGGCAAGGATGTGCTGGACGGCATGCTCTAGGTACATGGACGGAGCTGCGGAGGGAGAGAGGGGGAGTCCGAGAGGAGGGCCGGTGCGATGCCTAGCGACGATTACAATCATAGATGCCTTGCCGTGCCTCTCCACACGACGAGCGAGCTCAGAGCGCAGAGCGCAGACATGCAGCGGCATGAGCATTGCAGATTGAGAGAGAGGGAGAGAGAGCGAGACAGCAGCGCGAAGGGTCGCCAGGCGTTCAGTCCAACGCACGCGCCTTGCCTTTGCCTTTGCCCTTTGCGTCTTCCTGCGCAGGCGACGAGGCTCGCTGCTTCTCTGCCGCGGAACCGTGTGGCTGCGCCGCGGTGGGGTCCTGTGCCGGAGCGGCGGCCGCAGGCCCAGTGCCGTTGGTGCGCGAGGCATGCGGGTTGCTCGAGCCGTTGCTGATGGGCGGTGCCGTCGCTGCGTGACTTGTGATGTCGTAGCCCAGCTGTCTGAGCATCTCTTGTGCCCTCTGTCTCTCCTCTCCCTTGCTCGGCGCCTTGCCATCGTGCCGCTGCCTCGCCTCGCTCGACGCCGACGCCTGCTGCTCCTCGCGCTCTGCGGGCGGCTTGGAGAACTTTGCCTGCACGTCGCGGTAGTGCGCCATCTCCTGCTCGCTGACGCTGGGCACCAGCTCCTGCAGTGCGCCCTCAAAGTCGGCACGCGAGACGAGCACCTCGAGCTCGGCGGGCGCGGCGAGTTCGGCGAGGTAGAACTGCGGCGTCAGGGGATGAGGATGGGCGTATGGCGGCGGCCGCGCGTTGAGTTCCTCTGTCGACGCCCCAGGCGTAAGCAGAGAGTCAGCCGCGAGCTACACGAAGGGGGCAGAGGGGAGCTCGAGCAACCACGCACCAATGCGGCGATCGACTTGCGACGCCTTGCGCGTCATGGCCTTGAGCATGGCATCGCTGGCCAGGGCGTAGAAGTCTGCGCCCGTGAGGTTGAAGGGGCACTGCTCGGCGATCACTTGCAAGTCACCGACGTCGGCGTCAAGCTTGAACTTGCGCGTCAGGGCCTGCAGGATGTTGAGCTGCGCCGCATGTGTTTCGGCGACGGAGAGGTAGAGCATGCGATCGAAGCTGAAGGGGGGGGGGGGGCGCGGGAGGTGAGTGGATGTGCAGGGCACGGCACGATGGGCTTGGGCAAGGGGTGAAACGCACCGGCCAGGACGGAGGAGTGCGGGATCGAGCAAGTCGGGGCGATTCGTGGCGCCAATGACAAACACATCGCTGCCCTCGGCGCTGCCCGCCATGCCGTCGAGCTCCGCGAGGAGCTGGCTGACGATGCGGTCCATGACGCCGCCCGAGTCGCCCTGGTTGCCGCGCTTGGGCGCCACGCTGTCGAGCTCGTCGAAGAAGATGACGCACGGCTTGGCGTCGCGCGCACGCTGAAAGACGCGCCGCACATTGGCCTCCGACTCGCCAATGTACATGTTGAGCAGCTCGGGACCCTTGACGCTGAAGAAGTTGAGCGAACAGGACGTGGCGACTGCTTTGGCCAAGAGCGTCTTGCCCGTGCCGGGCGGGCCGTAGAGCAGAATGCCTGGCGAGCCACACGCGCGCGTCAGACCCAACTCCACGCAGGCCTCTCGTGGCCAGCTGCGCAAGACTCACCGCTGCGCTTCTTCAGGCCATCACTGAACAGCTCCGGGTGTTCAAGCGGCAGCTGAATCGTATCGAGAATGTCGTCCTTGACGGCCGCCAGTCCGCCGACGTCGTCCCACGTCACGTTGGGAATCTTTGGCGCGCCAATGCTCTCAGAGTAGCTCGCGCGAGCCTTTTGCAGCGCCACGTCAAAGTCGGAGCCGGTGAGAGGCAGGCCTGCTGCTTGGAGATCTGCATCGCTTGGAGAAGCGCCCGAGAGGGTACTGCACAAAGACGCAAAGTACGAATCAGTTGGCTGCCCCACTTCTGCGCCATCGTCGAGAGCAAAGCTCACCGAGCCGCCCTCAATCTCTCTGCGCTGGCCAGCCTGGCGCGCGTCACGAGATCGACGAGATCCGCCGCGACAAGCGCGGCCGTCTGCGTGGCCAGATGCTTGAGGCTGACATCTGGACTGAGATGTGCACCTCGCAGTGCAATCGTCAGCATCTCAAGTCGCTCTGCCTCGTTGGGCGCCTGAGCAGAAAGGGGTCGTCAGCGGGTGGGGGCAGTGGCCCATGCTAGAGGTCGGGCATGGGGCGAGCTTACCTCGAGCGTAATCTCATGCTTGAAGCACCCGAGCACTCCAGTGGGGCACTTTTCCGCCTCGCTCGTCGTGGCGATGACTGCCACTGGGCGCGGCGCAGCTCTGTCGCCCTTCTGCGCCTTGGTCGCCTTGCGCAGCTGCGCAATGCAGTCCTTGAGCGCCGCGACCAGCGGCGGTTCCTGGCCACTCTCCATGGCCTGGCTCTTCCGCGCCAACGCCTCGACGTGTCGGAGCAGCAGAATGGCCGGTCCACAGCTTGCTGCCTGTTCGAATCTGGCTCGCAGGGCGCCTTCAGTGCGTGCGTCGCTGTCGCCAAGCAGCTCAAAGCAGCTGATCTCAAACACATGCACGCCGCACGCCGAGGCGACCCAGTGCGCCATCGTGCGCTTGCCACTGCCCCGGGCGCCCTTGAGGAGGAGAGAGAGATGCAGGTCGTACTGTGCGGCGCGCGGCAGCAGAGTGGCGTGCAGCAGGGAGAGAAGCTCGGCGTAGTTGCTGCGCGGCGCTGTGAGGACGCTGCTGGAGGAGCTTGGTCGCCGAGGAAGATCATGCGCTGTATGGAGCACAGACACACACACACATTGCATCAGCGAGCTCCTCATTTCCCTTTGGCCGCAGCGCCCTCGTGCCCCCCCCCCCCCCCCACACACTCACCAATCTGCAACCACTGCATCGCATCCGCCACTTTGCAGTGTTCGACTCCACTTTGCACCATCTTGCTCAGCGACGTCTCGACGACGCAGCCAAACTCGCCTCGCCGTGCGGCTTCTTGCAGCAAAAGTGCGGCATCGGCCTGCGCCGACGTGCTTTGCAATGCTTCGGCGGGCTCGAACAGCTCGGGTGTGAGAGCGACAATGCGAAAGTAGACGATGCCGGTTGCGAGAGCTGCGGAATTTGAGGAGGGCAGACTGTGATAGGAAAAAGGAGGGGGGGGGGGTCAGCAGATAGGCGCACACGACCGAGAGGGGATGCGGCAAGATTGTCAGCGCCACTCACTCGTATTCGACGAGTCTCTCCTCATCCTTTTCCTCCTCCTCCTTCTCCTCTTCCTCCTGGTCCACTTTCCTGGTCCATCTCAGGCGTCCCTCTTCAATCGCCACGGCAATCACATCTCCCTGCTTGACGACTCGTCTGCGCGCCTCAAAGTGGCAGCGCAGCGCCTCGAGGAACAGCGGCTGGTAGGCGCGGTTGATGGCGCGTGGAGAGGCAACGCGCGCAATCGTCAATGCGTCGGCGAAGGGCAGGGGCAGAGGACAGGATGGTGTGGCTCCTGATGTCTTTGAGGAGGAGGAGGAGGAGGAGGCGAGCGAAGAACGTCGTAGTGGACGCAACGAGAGCATGGCGTTTGAAGAAGTGGCATCGAATGTGGTGTCGAGGTGCAGGTTCTGCCAGAGCATCGGCGGCACTTGAGCTGTGGCTCTCCTCGTGGGCGCGCCCTGCATGCGAGGAGGCGCGTCGATCTCGGTGAAGAGGCGCACGAGGCGCGTCTGTCCCTGCACGCCCACGAGGTCGGCCATGGCCCATTGGCCCTCGAATGCGCCCACTGCAGCCAAGGCACGCTCGTCGAGAAGAAGACAGAGATCTTCATCCACGTCTTCCTCCTCCGACGACGACGACGACGACGAGGCGGGCGAGTGCTCGTCGTAGACGCCGCGTCGTCGCTCGCGCCAGGCCGAGATGGACGCCAAGACGGCGCTGCGCTCGAGCGTGCGAGAGATGTGCAGCAGTGTGCCGCAGAGGAAGGAGCGGGAAGCGATGCTTGAGGAAGCAGCAGCACCGGCGCCGAGTTGATCAGTCTTTTCGTCCATCGGCACTTGGCCTTCGCCAGACGAGGGAGGAGGCAGCTCGAAGTCCTCCAGAACGGAATGCGCCAGAAAGCGCTCGTCGATCGTCACGTCTCCTTCCTCCTCCTCCTCCTGCTCCTCTTCTGATTCCTCATCCAGCTCCAGCTCCTCCTTCTGCTCCTCCGCGTCCTCTCTCTCCTCTTCCTCGACATGACGTGTTTCCAGCCGCTCCCGCTTCGCCGCCGCCTCTTCATCGAGCGTGACGAGGACTTGCGTGTCCGTCTCCTCTTGGCGAACCTGCACCACGCCTTGCAGTACCGGCTCGCTCATCAGCGTCTCGTACTCATACTTGTGCGCGCCTTCGCCGTCGTCGTCGCGCCGCACTCGCACTCGCAGCACCTCGCCCTGCCGCAGCAGGCGAGCATGCAGTGCCGCGCCCAGCGCCGCCGCGTGCGCGCTGGCGTACGCAAAGGCGCGCGCGTCGAGGGCGCGCAGCACGACGCGCGAGAGGAGCAGCGCCTCGTGCCGCCGCAGTTCGAGGTGCGAAATGCAGCGAGTACGCCCGAAGTGGAGGCGCAGAAGAGAGGAGGCGAGGTAGAGGTGCTTAACACAGCCACACGCAAGCATGAGCAAGGGGCAGCCAGGGCACGAAAGAGGGGGGGGGGGGGCGAACACAACTCACGTGTTCTTGCTCGCCAGACGAGTCCTCCTCCTCCTCGTCCGAGCTGCACGCCTCTAGCTCTTGCTGCTGCGGCGCCGGCAGCTCACGCAGCAGCACGACGAGGGGCGCACGCCGGGAGCGGGGCAGCGAGAGGGCCACGGCGACGCTCCTTGCCTCTGCCTCTGCCTCTGCCTCTGCCGCGCGCCGCGACTCTTGCTGCGCGCCATTGGCGGCGCCGTTGCTCGAGGCGTGCGGCGCACGGCTGAAGCTCGAGCTCGGCGCGCAGAGCTCGGCGAAGAGGGCGGGGGAAGCGTAGGCCTCTTGCTGCTGCTGGAGCGCGCGGCGCAGCGGGCGGACGCGCACGCAGCGGCGCGCGCTGCTGGGCTGTGCGGGCCGCGCTGCGCCGTCGATGCTCATCACAGCCAGAGGGCAAAGAAGGGTGAGAGCGCCGATGTGCGCGCAGAGGGGTGTGTGTGTGAAGGTTGGGGATGAGGAGAGAAGGCGAAAGGACGTGCGCCGCGCGTGGAAGCCAAGGAAGCGTGACCTCGACGCCGCTTCTCTTGCCGTTCAGCCGCCCGAGCCGGCGCCGGCGCGGGCCGGAGGGGCGCCGCTGCCGGAGCAGACGGGCAAAAGCGCGCCCGCCGCCGCGCGCCCCGTGCACGTTCGCGTTGCTCCTCCACCACCATTCCCCACAAGCCACGCTCCACCTGCCTCTCCTCCAGCCAGCGACGGCGTTGCCTTGACTGGTGCAGCTCTCACCTCCTTGCTCACGCACTCTTGCTCCCCTACGCCTCACACGCACATCCCACCATGGCCACCTCTGCGTCCTCGCTCGGCCATCTCTCGCCTCTCGCCGCCCAAGTGGCCGGGCACGACGGCGTGCAGCAGCTCGCGTCCGGGCTCATTTTCAAGCCCAGCAAGAATGCCGAGGTGGCCTTCTACGCCTCTCTCTCTCGTCTACCATCCACTCTCCTCCCCTTCCTGCCGCTGCACCACGGCAGCCTGCCGCTGCCCGTGCCGCATCCCGAGAAGCAAGAGGAGCGGGGATTGGTGCTGGAGAACTTGACACTGCCGTTCAAACGGGCCAATGTGCTCGATGTCAAGCTGGGCACGCAGCTGTGGGACGAGGGCGCGAGCGAGGAGAAGCGAGAGAGAATGCAGAAGCAGAGCAGAGAGAGCACGAGTGGCAGTGATGGCCTGCGCTTGACTGGCTGGCGAGTGAGTGGCTGCCTCTCTCTCTGTGTTCCTTGCTCTCCTGAGAGAGAGAGATGACTGAGGGCTGATAGGGCAAGCGTAACAGATCTTCGATAATGCATCATCCTCCTCGCATTCGACGAGCGACTCTTCGACGTCGACGTCGACGAGCAGCACGCGCGAAGCTGGCGCGGCGGGCGAGCAGGAGGAATACATTGCCATGCCAAAGGCCTTTGGCAAGGCCATCTCCTCCGACGATCTGCCTCTCGGCATGCGGCATTTCTTCGGCTCCTCTCTTGCCTCGGACGCCGCTGCCATCGATTCCATCCTCTTCTCCTCCTCCTCCTCCTCCTCCTCCTCCGAGGAGGAGCAGTCGCCAACTCGCACTCGCACCTCGTCGCTGCCGCGCGCCACGATGGCCCTGCTACTGCAGCACGGCCTCCTTCCGCGGCTGACGCAGCTGCGCGCCGCAGTGGCGGCGGTAGAGTGGCGCATGCGAGGCGGCAGTGTGTTGATCGTGTATGAAGGCGAGGCACAGCGACTCGTGCAGAACGTCGCGCGCGCGCAAAAGGAGGACAAGTGGGAGGCACTTTGCGTCAAGAAGCCAAATAGCAGCGCCGAGGACGAGGCGAGGCCGGAGGAGCAGCGAGGCACTCGCGTCGACGCCTCCGCCGAGGAGGAGAAAGAGAAAGAGGAGGAGGAGGACTCGGCCTCGGACTCGTCGCAGATCCAGCCAGTTTTCGACGTGCGTCTCATCGACTTTGCCCACGTCACGTTTGTGGCGAAGGGCCAGGGCGCCGACGAAGGCGTGCTCTTGGGCCTCGATTCCACCATTCGGTTGCTGCGGGGACTGCTGCAGCAGCTACAGCTCAAGCTGCCGCAGTAAGATCGCATGCAAATGAGCGCCCGCCAATTGCGAGAGGGCCCCGGGGG